TCTCCGAATGCAACAGCTATGTGCACCTAGGTCGAGAAGTCAACATGAAAAATGACCTGGCACCCGAGCTGCGCAGGAGGAAGAGAGCGGCTTGGAACGCCTTCAAGAGCGTCGAAGAAATAGCTAAGAGGACGAAGAACCTCCGGCTCTAGGCACATCTCTTTGATTCCACTGTTCTTCTTGCATTAACGTATGCCTCAGAGACCTGGGCCCTATGCAAACAGGATGAGAACGCTATTCAGGTCTCCCAAAGAAGAATTGAAAGAGCTATGCTTGGAATATCACGTTTCACTCAAATGAGAGAAAGAATTTGGAGTTCCGACATCTGTGGACGATCAAGAATCAGGGACGCTGTCTCATTTGCCAAGGTGTCAAAAATCAGATGGGCTGGTCATGTAATGAGATTTAAAGACAACCACTGGACTAGAGCTGTTACCGACTGGATTCCACGGGATGTCAAAAGACCGCGTGGCCGCCCACCTACCAGATGGTCAGACTTCTTCATCTATATCATGAACGATCAGTTTGAGGTTCTTCATGGTCCCAGAGCGAACAGATGCCATTGGGTTACACTAGCACGTGACAGGGACAAATGGAGATGTTACTGGCGCCCGCTCGAGCAAATCGATGACTAACGGGAAGTGAAGTAAGTGATGAATTGCAGATTGGTAACTTACATGAATACAGTGCAAGAAAAATAGATAATAAGAACATTAGCAAACTGGTGCATACTACTTAATATATGCACAATTCTTGACAGGGTCTACCTCAGCTGCTTTTTGGGAATATCCACTCAGATATAATTTTTCAGCAAAAGTTTTTGTGATATAATTCATGCCTATAAAATACTTGTTTATATATATATAATGAGTACTTTTATAGATCAAAAGTAATAGCTTCTATTTTAAGTAATAGTATTTCTTCCCCAGCTACTTCTTCAGCAATTCACTTTGTGCTCTATGAAATGACCATTTTACTAACTTTGGCATAGGGAGAAAGGAAAGAACCCCCTGTACTACTTCCCAAGTAACAAAGGCTGAAAAAACATTATAAATAAAACCTTACAATTTCTTACAAATCTCTTGGCCTCTCACTTTTCTTAATTATTGAATTCGGTGATCAACTAAGAGTCACTAATTTATTTCTAGTTGTCTCTTCTGAAATATTCGCTAATTTGGTCTATAGTGCTTAGTTTGGAATGTTAGGATCAATCTCCAGTGTATTTTGTGTGCCCTTGTGTTTTTGCATGTGTGTGAAAACTTCCAATTCTAAGATTTTAGAAACCAGTTCGTTTGTAAAATTCTTTGAGATATTGCGATTTACAATACTGTTAAAGGTAGTTCCAAGTATTTATCATTTCAACACCATACCCACAACCAGGATATCCATTTCCCTGTGCATAGATTTCAAATATTCCTTTCTACTGCCCCACCCTATAGGCTAAGTTCTAAGCTCTCCATTCTTTTGACTTTACCTACTTGTTTCTCCCACATTGTGTGTCTTTAGGTCTCACAGAACAAGTGAACTTTGGGTACAGATTCATAGCTGCTTCATGAGGCTGACACCATTTAGGGGCTCATAGCTGCCTTTTAGTAGTTCCAACTCACCCAGGAACTTCCCTGAGTGACAGAAATAGGTAAAGAGAAAACAGTAGATTTCTTTGTAGAGGCTAACACCTCTTCCCCCCTCATTCACATAAGACCCCCAGGAAAATTCCTCTGGCAACATATTTAATTAATAAATATGTGGTAAGTTAATTTTTGTATTTTATTCAGGATAGATCTCCAGTATTACTATTTTTTATCTGATTATGCTATTAGGGTAATTTTGGTCTTGTGAACTGAGTTTGAAGGTTAAGACTAGGAAAAATTAGCATCAATATATTTTTCATTGAATTAATAAAGCATCTGCTCCTTAGTTTTTCTTTGTTGTGAGGATTTGATCATTGTTTTAACATTCTTTTTCTCATTATTGTTTTTGAAGTCACAATATTGTTAAAATTTATGGCATTATTACACAAAATTACTGTTCCCCCATCCCCACAGTGCTCAAAACTTTTCCACCCCTTCCACCCTTTGAAGTTTTATTTTTAGGAAAAACACAGGTTATAACACTTACAAAAATTACCCAAAACCTGCAGATTTCATACTTGTAGATAATACTTAATTCTCTTAAGGTCAAAAAGAAGTTTGATATATGGTGACATAGCGGACATGAAATAAAGTTACCTTAATAATAGCATGTATTTTCATGCACTGGGCAGACTAATGATAGATCATGAAAAAGCTGATTTCACAGTCATTTCCCACATTTTCTGCTAATTCTCCATTCTTAGAAACTGCTAAAGTCAAAGAGATACTTTGTAGCAGATTTAAGTTGAAAGTACATACTTAAACCTGCCCTTCTTTTTTTCCTTCAGTCTGTTAAGAGTAACAAGTTCACTAACAGGCAATAAGTTCCCTGGGGTGAAGGATTTCTCAGGAGGGGAGAGGTGAGAAATGGAGCTTTTAGTACATTCTTAGTTATATTTGAACCTCTGAAACTGCCAGTGTCATTCCCAGTATCCTAAAACATAAGTATTTAGGAATTGAGGCCTAATTTTCCATAGTTATGAATAACTAGAATTCATGGATAGGAAAAGCTAAAGTGGGCAGACTTTGGCATTTTATTTTTCAGGGTCTCCTTAATATTCTCTCTTGTAGGGATTTTGGCCCCTTCTGGTTTTCATTATTTGCTATGATTTCTATGGCAAGGAGCTTAAAGTAAATTTTAAATAATCCCTTAAAGTTTGCAAGAAGGGATGCCATACCATCACAAGAAAACCCTAAAAGTTACAGGAGGGAATACCATACCAAGCTCTGGAAAGCGTTCCTAAAAGTTGTCAGTCATTGGATTAGACATCTCCATCAATGATCTCTACTGCACCCCAAGAACCCCTGCCGTCTGAACTGACCTCGGGCATGACCCCGGCTGCATATCGAAAATTACCCAGAGTGTTTTGGCTTTGGAAGACCTTGCTTCTGGATCCAGAGAGGAAAAATCTGCCTTGCTAATTTATGGCATTTCTGCCTGTTTTTAGTTTCTTAGACCAGAGTCTGTGGTGCTGGCCTAATTAACATCTCAATTCCCTCCTGAAAATCTCCCTAGTCACATTCCTTTGTTGGCCTGAGAGGAGAGAGAAGAAAGTTTCCAGCCTGGGGCTTGACATCATGCCAGAGTCTCCCAGAATCTTTCACTAGTGGGTTTCCTCACATCCCTCCCACAGTGGTTGATGGCACAGGAAACATACAAGGGAAAAGGTTCCTCCTCACAGAGGCAAAATTTTCACACAGAGGTTACACAGTACAGTCTTACCATTCAAGATTTTTTCTAAAGAGCGTACCTCCACAGAAGATTTTCACAGTTATCTCCTTCCTCTGGAAGTTCTTCACTGCATCATTCCTTTGTGGTTGCCACTTAATGATGCTTGTGATGTTCCCGGATGACTTATGTAAAGGGGGAGAAGAGAAGCTGCAACCTAGAGAAGGAAATCTGCCACCTCTGCCACCCATGGATCAATGGACTGGGAAATCTAGGACTGACAGGAGTGTGGTGAGCCTTTACTCCTAAATAGGAAAGGAAAGTAAGTTCTTTTTCTTTTTTTAAATTTTTATGAGTGAGACACCGTGAGGTACAGTTGTAGACTTACAAATTTTTGTGCTTGGGTTTCAATTATACAATGATCAAATACCCATCCCTCCACCAGTGCCCATTTCCCATCACCATGAATCCCAGTATCCCTCCCACCCCCATCCCCCACACCCCATCCCACCCTGCCTCTGTGTCAGGGCATTCCCTTTTGTTTTCTCTCTCTCCTTTTGGGTGCTGAGGTTCGAAAAAGAGGCATTGAGTAGCAATCATGTTCGGTCTACAGTCTTCTTTCAGTACGCATTTCCCATCCTGGGAGGATCCTCCCAACACCCTTTATTTGGTGCTCCCTTCTCTATCTGAGCTGCCTTTCCCCCCCCTAGCATGTGTGGCTGGCCTCCAAGCCATGGAGCAAACCTCCTGGTACTAATCTCAGCCATTGTTGGGTGTTAGTCTCCTATTTTGTTACTTTATGTTCCCCAGATGGATGCAGTCTTTCTATGCCTATCCCTCTCTATCTGAGTCATTTCGATTAACATGATAAGGAAAGTAAGTTCTTGATCTTATCACCCAGGCCTTTCAGATTCATTACCTTTGCCTCTTAGAAAAAAATTTTAAGAGGGAGAGGTTTTATTTGAAAGTTTTGAGGAAGGGAGTGGGGGGAGGGGGAGAGAGAAAGAGGAGGAAGTCAGGGGGGAGGGACAGAGAGGGAGAGGAGAGAGAGAATGGACATTTTAAAATTTACTTCAGTCCCCATAAATTTGCTTTATGTCCCAACAATTGTTATATTTTTAACAATGTTTAGTGAGCACTTGAAAATAATTTGTATTCTGTTGTTCGTCATTGATATTTATTCATCAATGGTGGAAGAGTTATTATAGCAAGTACAGCAAGTAAGGTGCTTGCCTTGCATATACCCAACCCAGATTCAATCCCCAGCACCCCAAATGTCTCCAGAGTCCTGCCAGGAGTAATCCCTGAACACAGAGATCAGAGTAAGCTCTGAGCACCTCCAGGTACGGCTGAAAGCCAAAAATATACATCTATGTATATATCAAATCCATGTCATCTAATTTTCCACTTAAGTCTACTATTTTATTGTTGATTTCTATCTGAATGCTCTCCCATTGCTGTGAGGTCATAAAATATCCTATTATTGTTGTTTTGATATCAGTAGATCTCTTTAGGTCTGTTACTGTGAGTCTTGTTTGCATTTAATGACACTATTTTAGTTTTTGTAGTTAAGTCAGGAAGTTTTATATCAGGAAGTCAAGCTTTCTCAAAACAAACAAACAAACAAACAAACAGAAATTAACTTTTTTTAGTCATTGGTATCAGTAGCATATTAGAATCCTTGACTTTAATGATTTAAGACTTGGGAGACCTGGTGTTGATTGTTATTGCCAACATGAGAGTGGTGCAGCAGTCCTACAACTCCAATTCTTGATAAATGAGGTAAGAACTAGACTATTTCTTTCTCTTTCTCTATTCATTAATGTATTTTATTATAATTTATTATAATTCTGTGATTTTAACTGTGAAGCATGGTAATGCATACAGTGTTAGTCATAATCACAATTTCCATAAAAGACTACAGTCCTATACATGGGGCTGGAGCGATAGCACAATGGTAGGGCATTCGCCTTACATGCGGCCAACATGGCCGACCCGAGTTCGATTCCTCTGCCCCTCTCGGAGAGCCTGGCAAGCTACCGAGAGTATTCGATATGCCAAACACAGTAACAACAAAGTCTCCAATGGAGACGTTACTGGGCCCGCTCGAGCAAATCGATGATCAACGGGAGGGCCTTTACTTTTACTTTAGTCCTATACATCAGTTTATTAAACTTTAAAAAAAAAACTTCAAAAGAAAAAAACTAGGATATCCTGTCATTTGCAGTTGAATTTTTTTTTTTTTTTTTTTTTTTTTTGCTTTTTGGGTCACACCCAGCGATGCACAGGGGTTACTCCTGGCTCTGCACTCAGGAATCACTCCTGGCTGTGCTTGGGGGACCATATGGGATGCTGGGAATCGAACCCAGATCAGCCACGTGCAAGGCAAACACCCTATTTGCTGTGCTATTGCTCCAGCCCCAGCAGTTGAATTGTTTTTAAAGCTTCTAAAATCTTTTTAATGTTATAGTGACTAATAAGCATGTCTTCTACACAACTCTTTTTCCCCCTTAAAGTTTGTAATTTAGAGTTAACTTCGTGTTTGGTTTTCATTTCTCATGAAATAATCTTTTTAGCTACTCACCTATGGAATCATTTATGGGTGCATATCTACCCATATATTTGCTGATATAATTTTACAGTAGTATTAATGTATTGAAAGCTACCATGAAAATAGGCTGCCTACTCATCATTCACTTTGTAGAATTAGTAAAAAGACCTCACTAAAGACAAAGTATATAGAATTCTCTATAAGATTGCAGATCCTTCATTAGTTGGTGCCTCTAAGGTCTTCTAGACTCTGATTTTTAAAATAAATTCTTGTGTCTTCTAGAACTCTTTTATGCTAAATAAGTTTTTGTAAAAAAAAGTATTTTAAGGTTTTGCACTATCAAATTCTGGCATTTAGGAAATTGAATCAGTGTATTGAGACCCACCCTCAACCCCCAGAAAAAAAAATTACAATTGATTATTTTCTTTTAACATGAATAATGATCTTCTATTTAATGTCTTCATATCTTTGTATGTAGATCTCTATATATGTTTATCACACAAACATGAGTAAAATTAGTCATGAACTTCATATCAGAGATACCTGAGGCATAGAAAATCTTTGATATTGTTAAATATCTGCTTTTTAAACTTCTTACATAAAATATTTCTTAGAAGACTGTAATATGCTCCTTACTGAGAATTATAACATATTTTATCTTTAGGCATACTTACTATTGAGTTTGAAAATGATAGTAGAAGATAAGGGGAAGAAGAAATTTTAAAAAATTTATAATAATTATGTTTTGGAATCTTAAGTGACAACATTTTTGTTTTGTTTGAATATGGGAAGTGGTGTTGGGCCACACCCGGGTGTGCTCAGTGCTTATGCCTGGATCTTAGTTCAGGGATAATTTCTTGCAGTGCTCAGGGGACTAAAGGAGGTTCCAGGAGGCAAGTGCCTTTACCCACGATACTTTTTTCAACCTCTTGACAATCTTTTTTAAGTTTCAGTGTTTCTGTGCAACTCCTAGTGAAAATTTCAGTGAATAAACTTGGTTTTGCTTCACACAAAAAGCCCTAAATTAACAAATAATTTACTAAATGTCTTCTTTTTCTTTTAGGGTGCTTTGGTGAGTGCAAGTTCAGATGATACACTTCATTTGTGGAACCTCAAACAAAAAAGGCCAGCTATTCTGCATTCTCTTAAATTCAACCGAGAACGGTAAGAATTTATGAATTAATTTCTCAATGTATATGAGTTTATTTCCTGATCAAACTTCAGGTTAATATTTGGAATATTTTATCCCATAATATTAATACTAATAATAATTTACTGTTTATAATACTTAACTATAATACTTAAAGAGTAAAAGTAGAAGAGTAAAAAAAAAAATTTTTTTTTCTGATCAAGTTCCAGGTAACATGTGGAAGATTTCCTCCCATAATCTTAATTATAAATAATAATAATTTATTGTTTATATACTTACTTTTAAAATATTATGTCTTTTCTATGGAAATAAATTAGATTTTTTCATCTTTTAATGGAGAACATTAATGTCTTTGTTCTCAAAGATATAAACCAAAACTTTAGCAATAATATATTGTTTTCATGACCAAATTGAAATCTCAGACCTAAAATTTTTAAGTCAAGTGAACATGAAATTATTTCTATTTCTTAACAATTTCACTAAAATATTTTAGTGTTAAAATAAATATTATAAAATGTAATTAACAGTTCAGCAATTTCATACATCAAAGATTAATATTTCATGAATGAAAATTTGACCAGAATTCAGAATCTTTCACTTTAGAATGAAATGAAATATAAGAAAGAGAAAATTTTATGTCAACTTAATGTGATTTGAACTATAGGAAAGTTGATAGATTTAATAAAGTTATTTTCATAGGTCAGTAAATGTTATTTAAAATGTTATTTAAAAATGGGAATGGTAAAAAATAGAGGCAGATAGTCATTGCTAAGAATTCAAAATAGTGTTAATTTTATTGAATGCCACTGAATCATAGTCATCGCTTTATGGGCAGAGCTTAATGAAGTAAACCCTGTTTTTGTTGATCTTCCTTTTAAATGGTAATAAGAAATTATTGCTTTATGGGTAAAGGTCAATGAAGTAAACCCATTTTATATTTGTGATTCTAAAAAAGGATAACATTATACCATTCTTTTCCAGCCTGAATTTCTTTTTCTTTTACTTCTCATTATACATGCACTATTTAAATAATCAGTAATATTAATTATTAATACTATGAACTCTATTTAAAACATTATTCTGAGTAGCATTCCATGAGCATAATGCCACCAATATTTTAAGGTTCACCATCATTAAAAAATTTATTATATTAAGTATAATTTGGAGGAGAGAATCGATATTTTAGTTATTTGCTATAACTTGTAGGGCTTCTTTAGATTTTATCTTGAATTTTAAAATATGTAATATAACAAAAATTTTAGGTTATTAAGAATTGAAATCCAGTAATTTCTTATTTCTATTTCTTTACCACATTGATAAAAATATTACCAATTCACATATTGCCATATTGGTTTTATCTGTTTCTCTGCATGTGAGAATTTGTGTCAGTAGTTTGAGATAGGGTCTTATTTCTTAGTGTAAAAAGACAGAATTCTTCTTTATCTGGATGCAATTGAAATGTTGAAGAAAATGTTCCGGTCCATTAATTTTGGTTTTTGGGCCACACCTGGCATTGCTCAGGGCTTATTCCTGATGCTATGTTCCTGGACCACTTCTGGTGGGGCTGGGGGGACATATGGGGTGCCTGGTATCCAACCTAGATCAGCTATATGCAAGGTAAATGCTCTACCTGCTGTGCTATTGCTCTGACCATGTTTTGGTCTCTTGTATGACTTTTTCCATTCTCTGGGGAAGAAAGTATTGATAGCAGTGATTTCTGATTATAATTGAATAACTTCAATTCAGATGGATTTAAGTGGTACTACCATAAAAGAGCAAACTTATTGACTTTAAACAAATCAGAGGACTTTGCAAAAATTTCCTATTTATTTAATTTTCCTTTTCCCTTTGTTGTTACAATGACCATGGTTTGCATACTCTTAGTACTAGTACTTGGGTGCTTCAGTTGTGTTTCTGGTGACGGAGGGTTCACATATTAGTTGTGTTGATCACACACTTGGTTGTGGCACTCATGAGGGTTGAATACTTCATTGTGGTACTTGTAAAAATATTTTTTCAATGCCAGACTTGGCACACTTTTTATTGATGCCAGGAATGTCAATTAGCAGAACCATTGCAATCATACAACTTGTGCTAAGGATGGTCTCACGCCTGTTCTTAACCACTTGAGTTATCACTGGATCACCAAGCATTGCCTATTTTAATGCTTACCAAAATGTGATAATTATATTTAAGAAAGCCTTATTATTATAGGTCTGTGAATGATTATTGAATGCTTTGAGTTCTGGAGAGAGAATTATTTTTAAATACATGATGCATGGGAGGCTTAAATTTACAAAGGAAATTGTGAAAACCAAAACTTCTTAAATTAGGCTTTCATATCTATAAATATACTTAAATCCTTATGACATATATGTATATATACATATGTATTAGTTTGTAAGGTATATTAATTTTAGATTCTTATCGACAGCACACTTTCCATTTTAAATATTATTTATTGAAATAACATCAGTTTACAAACAAAATACTTACATCTTTTATTAATATAATGTTACTGTACCTCACCCACCACTCAAATACCAGTGTTACTTCACCACAATCTGTTGAAGTCCTTGTACTCTTGCAGCAAGTACACTCTCTCCTTATATTGCAGAACTGCTTATAAGTTCTGGGGTCAAAGTTCAAATGTTTGATTTAGTCGCATATTCTTTACTCCCTTTATTTTTTATAATAGCAAATGAATATCATCCAGTATTTATCTTTCTCAATCAGACTTATTTTGCTTAGTGTGACTCCATCCAGTTACAAACATGTTGTAGAAGGTAAGCTTTCATCAGTTCTTATAGCTGAGTCGTATTCCATTGGGTTGTTGAACTCATGTTGTTTCTTATCTTGGCTATTGCAAGTAGAGCTACAATGAATATAGGTATGCTTATATCTTTTGTGAAATAGTGTTTTTGTATTCTCTAGGTAGATACCTACCTATATATAAATAATAGGTTGCATAGTAGATGTATATATGAATTTTCACCTTGTATTTATATTATTTTATTTTTAGCTTTTTTTAAAAATAAAAGCTCTGCAGTTTTCAATGTTTTCAATGGAGGCATAACCAGTTTATATTCTCACTAACACTGTATGAAAGATTCTTTTTTTGTACTTTGTGTAATCACCATTTGACTAGGAATCCTGTGGCTCTCTCTCCCCACCTGCATTCTCTGGTCTTGGGCTGCTTTCTCACCTGGGACAGCCAATACCATGGGCAAATGAAGGAGGAAAGAGGGCCAGGCTGGTTGGTAATCAGTTGCTGTACATTCCATTCTTCCCATATGCCTGTTCCAGTGTCACTAAGACCCTCATTCCCAGTTCCTTCTGTCCCCCTAGCTCTTCTCTACATGCTCACACTCTGGGTCTTTCCCTAGTCTTTTTTTTTTTTTTGGATCATTGCTTTATAACCTTTATAGTAAAGTCTTATTTTTCAGAAGTTCCTGAAAATGTTTTCAATTTTTCAGTTTTCTAAGCTTTGTTTTTTTTACGTTATTATTAGTGAAACACCATGAGATACAGTTGTGGACTTACAAGTTTTTGTGCTTGGGTTTCAGTTATACAATGATCGAGTATCCATCCCTCCACCAGTGCCTATTCTTCACCACCACTGATCCCAGTATCCCTCCCACCCCCCCAATTCCCCCAACCCACACTGCCTCTGTGGCAGGGCATTCCCTTTTTGTCTCTCTCTCCTTTTGGGTGCTGTGGTTTGCAAGAGAGGCATTGAGTGGCAATCACGTTCGGTCTATAGTCTACTTTCAGCATGCATCTCCCATCCTGGGAGGATCCTCCCAACCCCTTTACTTGGTGCTCCCTTCTCTATCTGTTCCTTTTCCCCTAGCATGTGCAGCTGCCCTCCAAGCCATGGAGTGAACCTCCTGGTACCTATCTTGACTATTCTTGGGTGTCACTCTCCTATTTTGTTACTTTATATTCCCCAGATGCATACAATCTTTCTATGTCTGTCCCTCTCTTTCTGACTCATTTCACTTAGCATGATACTTTCCATGTAGTACCACTTGTAAATTTCATGACTTCATCTTTTCTAACAGCTACATAGTACTCCATTGTGTACTATGATGTACCAAAGTTTCTGTAACCAGTCATCTGCTCTGAGACACTGGGGTTTTTTCCAGATTTTGGCTATTGGGAACAGTGCAACAATGAACATAGAAGTGCAGATGTCATTTCGACTGTAAATTTTTTGCCTCTCCAGGATATATTTCCAGGAGTGGTATTGCTGGGTCAAATGGGAACTCAATTTCTAATTTTTTGAGAATCTTCCATACTGTTTTCCAAAAGGGCTGAACCAGTTGACATTCCCACTAGCAGTGAAGGAGGGTCTCTTTCTCACCACATCCTTGCCAACACCAGTTGCTTTTGTTATTTTGGATGTGGGCCAGTCTCTATAGTGTGAGATGATATCTCATTGTTATTTTGATCTGCATCTCCCTGATGATTAGTGATGTAGAGCATTTTTGCATGTGCCTTTTTGCCATTCAGATTTCTTCTTTAAGAAACTTTCTGTTCATTTCATCACCCCCTATTTTGATGGGGTTGGATGTTTTCTTCTTGTGGGGTTCAACCAGTACGTTGTATATCCCTGATATCAACCCCTTGTCGGATGTGTATTGGGCGAATATCCTTTCCCATTCTGTAGACTGTCTTTGTATTTTGGTCACTGTTTCTTTTGTAGTGCAGAAGCTTCTTAGTTTAAGATAGTTCTTCTTAGTTTAAGATAGCTTCTTAGTTTAAGATAGATTTGCCTGTCTCTGTCTTCACTTGCTTGGCCAGTGGTGTGACTTCTCTGAAGATACAGTTTGCTTCAGTGTCGTGGAGTTTTGCCAACCTTGTCTTCAATGTACCTTATGGATTCCAGTCTGATGTTGAGGTTCACTCCATGGCTTAGAAGCCAGGCGCACACTGTAGGGGCAAAGGCAGCTTAGATAGAGAAGGGAGCACCAAATAAAGGGTTGCTGGGAAGATCCGCCCAGGATGGGAG